CGGAAAGAAGACAGATGAAATAAAGAGATAATAAGGATGAAAGAAAAGCAGGTATAAATTATGACAAACGGAACAGAAGCAAGATCAGAGTTGTAATACCATATGTGTGTACATATATGATTTATACATCACAGACTAGGAGAGATCCTTGTATTGTGTAGGAGGGGCTGGGAACGAAGAGCAGTGCTCATGCATACCGTGGGAACAGGGTTAAATTCCACGCATAAAGGCTGCCGGGATTCAGCAGTCAGGAGTAAGACAGCAGCTGTCCACTGACAGATTGAAGAGCTTCTCTGAGCCTCTTCATCTACTGCCCCAGCACAGCACCACCTCTACCCCAAGAAGCTCCTGCACGCCCCGAGCACAGCCATCAAGCACGTTATAAAATTAAAGCCTTGGGCCCAGGGAAAGCCTGCTAATGATAGAATTCTGCAGGAGTCAGACAAATCAGCTTGGATTTTTGTCAGATTGCCATGATGCGTGTGCAGATATTTAGTAAGACATTGGTGAAATTCAGACTGCTAGGCTGTCCATCCTCTTTCTCCATGCAATGGAGAACCTTCTAGTGATCACTGTTCTTAAACTATTTTTTAAAGGTTTATTTACTTCTATTTTCTGTGTATGTGTGTTTTGACAGCACATATGCATGTGTACTACATGCATGTCTGGTACCCAAGTAAGCCAGAAGAGGGTGTCCAATGCCCTGGAAGGGGAGGTTCAGGTGATTGTGAGTCAACATATGGGTGCTGGGAATCAAACTGGGTCCTCTGGAAGAGCAGCCAATGCTCCTAACTGCTGAGTCATGTCTCTAAAGCTAATCATTGCTCTTAACTGCTGAGTCATGTCTCCAAAGCTAATCATTGCTCTTAACTGCTGAGTCACGTCTCCAAACCTAATCATTGCTTTTGGAAAGAAGTAGATGGGACAAGTAAGGCTTCCAAATGCATGAACATGTTTCCACTAATCATCCAGAAACTGCATGGAAAACAAAAGTCAAATGAGCCATGTAGAAGAACGTTGAGATCAAGCTGCACCATGGCCTGAGTGGTTGCATATTGTGTAAACTAACAGATTGACTCCATTTCAAGTGCAAATGCCCAGGCAGGATGGCTCCGAAACTTGGCAGACACACAAACACCACCACCTGTCCTGTACCACCTAGATACACAGAGTGGTAAATAATTTATTCTTTAAAGTAGAAAGGGCACCTCTGCTGCAATTAAAAAAAAAGATGTCATGTGACAGAGCTTGGGTGAAGGGGATTTTTATTGGGGGAAAGTGAATGGAAAAGAGGGCAAGGGGAGAAGGGACCAGCCTCTGGGGACAGGAGTATCAGAAGAGAAGAGAAAGGCAGAGAGAGAGAGAGGAGACAGAGAGACAGAGAGACAGAGACAGAGAGAGATAAGCAAAAAGAGAGAGAGAGAGAGAGAGAGAGAGAGAGAGAGAGAGAGAGAGAGAGAGAGATGAGAAGTGGGCAGGGTCCTTTTAAAAGGGAACATAGTGAATGTGCACTGCCACGCCCCCTGCGCAGCCTGTATCTGAGAATGTGGCGAGGGTATCGGGATTGATGACACAGAGACCCATCAGTGGCTTCCAGAAGGCTCTTCAAGAAGGCTCTCTTTTATTCCTACGCTGGCTGGTTATTATATACCCTGACACCAGAGGCAGCGGTGGGTGGATCGAAAGAGGCGGTTAGTCTTTGGAAAAGGTCGAGGTCAGGGTATTCCCGTGGGCACGTCCTTTTAAGGAACTTACTGTCCCACGCACTGTATTGTTTTTAGTAAACATTGTCTTACAGCTGCTTGGTCCCAGGCTGATGGGGAAGTGGGTCTCTGGCCAAGGTCTGTTGCCCCCACAGTGCACAAATGGTGCTCTTAGTGACTGTAGTTGAGGATGTATCCTGTCAGAACCCCAAGTTCAGGCCAGGACAGATGCCTGAATACTAACAACCACTCTATAAATTTCTCATAGTATATTATGGGACTATGGAAGGACATGGAAATATTAAAATCATACCAGGAAAACTAGCTCCAAGAACTTACCAGACTAAAGAAAGGATGGGGGGAGGGGAGCTGGGAAAAAGAGAAGGGGAGAAGAGGAGGGGAGAGGAGAGAGGAGCAATGAGGGAGCAGGAAGGTTGAGTTGGGGGAAGAATAGAGGAGAGCAGGATGAGAGATACCATAATAAAGTCATTATAGAATTGAGGAGAGATCTGGCACTAGTGAGATTTCCAGAGATCTACAAGGATGACACCAACTGGCAAACTAAGCAGTAGTGGAGAGACTACCTTAAATGCCCCTCCCTGATAATGAGATTGAGGACCACTTTATATGCCATCCTAGAACCTTCATCCAGCGACTGATGGAAGCAGAGGCAGACACCCACAACTAAACACCGAACTGAACCCATGGAGCCCAGTGACAGAGAGAAAGGAGTGATGAGCAAAGGGGTCAAGACTGGGCTGGTGAAACCCATAGAAACAGCTGACCTGAACAAGGGGGAGCTCATGGACCCCAGACTGATGGCTGAGAGGCCAGCATGGGACTGATCCAGACTCCCTCAATGTGGGTGTCAGTGAGGAGACCCAGGCAATCTATGGGGCTTTGGGCAGTAGATCAGTATTTATCCCTGGCATACAAATGGACTTTGGGTGCCCATCCCACAATGAGGGATGCTCTCTCAGCCTGGACTCTTGGGGGAGGGCCTAGGCCCTGCCCTGAAAGAAATGACAAACTCTGGACATCCCCCATGGAGGGCCTCCCCCTCCCTGGGGAGGAGTGAGGATTGGGGGAGTGGGGGAAGAGGAGGGGAGGGAGAGGGAGCTGGGATTGACATATGAAGCAAACTTGTTTCTAATTTAAATAAGAAAAAAGACGAGAAAAAAAAGAAAGGATACGGTTTCCTCACTTGGATCCCAAAGAAGAGATTAGCTAACACTGTGATGGCAACAGTACCACTAATCCGCCATCTGGCCACCTGGTGTGCATGACTAAGAGCTGACAGACAGCAGAGAGCTCCGGACCGTCTGGGGGCTTCAGTTCCACTTGGTCCCCAACGTTGATTCCCCTGCCAGCCAGCCGTCTGCCCATTCATCGGGACTCAGTCTCCCTCTGCCTCTACAGGTTCCAAGGTGTCACACTTGGCTTTTACAGTTTCAGCTTGACCCTGAGGTTCAGCTCAACTCTAACTAGGCAGCCGGATTCTACAGCTGCAGGAGTCTCCAGCAAGCTCCAGTCAGCCTTGATTTGTTATCATTTTTTCCCTTTCCCCACCGAAACTGTTTAGTATCCCTATCAGGTTCTCACTCTGCCTCTGGTCAGCATCCTTGAACTATACTACGGCCTCTTTAATCCTTCTGAAGCCATCCTAGGGTGTGTGTGTGTGTGTGTGAGTGTGTGTGTGTGTGTTACGAGAGAGGGGGGGGGATTTGAGAGTAACGATCGGCAATTAAGATTGGAATAAAAGAACCTTTATGGCCTCGGTGGCTGTCAAAGACAGAGACTACTTGGCAAATGCTGCCAACAGAACCAGCATACCTTGTGAATTCATTGTCATGAAATATATTCTGACGCCGTGGGAAGACACAAACATGTTCATCTCCGCTTCTGACACAGCACACACACACACACACACACACACACACACACACACACACACACACACACACGATAGGCAGGAAGATGGCATCCTTTTCCTACCATCATAAGGGCCATAGCTAACACTTCCACAACCAAAGGCACATTAGCAAGAGAGAAATATAATGGATTTATGTCTTCAAAGTAGCACGAGATTTAGAAACAAAGGCACAAAGAAAGACGCATGGGGAAAATGTTCAGTGTATGCTTACATTTGATGAGGATAAATACCTGTGAAGAAACCGGATTGGAGGACAGAGACGATGCAATCTGATGGTACCAGACTAAGACTTCAACAAGATCTGTTCAAATTCTTCAGGCTTCTCTGTAAAGCTTTCCCTTACCTGAGGTAGAGGTCAGAACCCTTCCTCAAGGTCATATAACCAATATCCCACAACGTAAGTCAGGGAAGTAGGGAAGGTCAGAGCAGTGGTTCTCAACCTGTGGATCACGACCTCTTTGGGGGTCACGTATTAGATATCCTGTATATCAGACAAATTTACTCTATGATTCATAATAGTAGCAAAATTATAGTTATAAAGTAGGAATGAAATAATTTTATGGTTGGGGTCACAACATGAGGAACTGTATTAAAGGATCACAGCATTAAGAAGGTTGAAAACCACTGGGTTAGAGTAATCCTTACTTTTAAGTTTTTGAGAGAGGGTCTCTATGTACCTCAAGCTAACCTCTAATTAATGACCCTCCTCAGTCTCTCCATTCCTAAGATCACAGGCATGAGTCACAATGCCCAGGTTAGAAAATTATCTCTGGGTTATAGGACTTGGTGAGTGTTGTTTTTATGGTCTGCTGTAGAGGTGAAAAATAATGATTTTCCTAACTTGCCTAGCAACAAAGGAGGATCCTTAAAATCAGAGAGAGAGGCCAGGTGAGGTAGGCCTTACATTGTCATTTAGTTTAATGTACTGAGCATGCCTGAGTGGCACTGTTTGATCTATTACTTTTGAACTTCAACCACCATAAATTCAAAGGCCAAAAGAATAAAACCATATGAGACAAAAGGTATCAATCAAAACTTAGAAGCTAGATCAGTAATGGGCAAACAAGACCAGAGGACACTGTTAAGATGATTAAATGTGAGGACATTAGATGGAATGGTTCTAATGTCCTAGATCCCTATGTAGGCAAGACAAACGAAACTCAAACACTCTGTTTGCAAATGATTAGCAAAATGGAAAACAGCTTAACCTTAGCCAGTCAGAAAGTGACGCCTAACCTCTAACTAGAGACCTTCAATTGGAATAATCCAGAAGAGGTAACTGTAACCAAATATTTCCTTTGCTTCAGTTCCACGTTTATCCAACACTGGCATAAAATAAAACTCTGCTTTTAGGAAATAAGTGGTTTATTCTCAGCCAAAAGTCACAGGTCACGCCTGGGACTAGGGAGTCAAGTTACTTTGAATGGCATGTTCCACCGTGTCAAAGTTCCGTGAGCTTTCGTCATCACAGGAAAGAAAGCCATGAATTGGTATGTTTACAAAATGCACACTGTTGGTGGGCTGCAGCGAGGTGCTTGGCCGCCCTTCCCTGGCTCACTGCTGCCTGCCTAGGTCCCCGCCCGGTTTCTGCCCCGTTTCCACCACCGCCTGGGCACTGTTCCCAGGCTCCCAGAGCTCAGCGCGAAGCCCCGGCCCTGGGGGCTGGGGCATGAGCCAGGGGTGCCATGTGAGGCCACTTTCTGTACAGCTGTGACAGTCGAAGCTGCCTGCAGCGAGAACAAGCACACGAGGGGTCCGGGCGATGGGGAACTGGTTCCAGCATCCTCTCGGCCCTCCAGGACATCTTCTCCATCACTTGGGACAACAGGTCCAAGGAGGACAAGCAGCCACAGGTCATCTCAGTGCTACAGTGGGTCCTGTCCTTCCCGGTGCTGGGAGTGGCCTGCAGTGTCATCCTCAGGTGCACCTTCTGCGCTCACTGCTGCCTCATAGCTGTGCTCTGCTTCACCTGGCTGGCGTTTGACTGGAACACGCCCGAGAAAGGTGGCAGGAGATGGACACTGGGTACAAAACTGGGCTGTGCGGCGCTGTTTTCGAGAGTGCTTTCCCATCCAGCCCCGTCTTCCTGGCCATCCTGGAAACATAACTGTCTGATTAGAACACTCTGGCCTTCAACTCACTGCTGCTGGGGCTGAAAGAGACCCACCCGCCTCTGGGGCTATACACCAGCCCTCTCTACGACATGCAAAAGAAGGAGAAACTTCATCATCCCGACATAAGAAGGAAGACTCCTGCTTCACTCAGGGGATACAGGTCCTAAGAGGCTGTATGGAGTCAGAGGAGGAGAAGGAGACTGCCATGATCTGAGAGTGAATCAGGACTCTGCCGGTAGCATGTCACTGAGAAAATATATTCTAGTTGCACCTAGGCTTAAATGGTGCGTACGGACTGTGGGTGTGGACTAAGGAGTCTAAGGACAGGAACCAGTCATCATCTTTGTGGCTGTGGTTGTTCGCTTTGCTTTTGCCTTTTGAGTTTTTGTTTTGCTTTGTTTTTTGAGACTTGGTTTCTCTGTGTAGCCTTGGCTGTGTTTGACCAGGCTGGCCTGGGACTCACTGAGATACACCTGGCTCTGCCTCCCTGCTTGAGCACTGGGATTAAAGGCTTGTAACAACACTGCCCCAAGACACCAGTCATGTCAACAGAAAGGCCATTGAGTTCCTCCCAAGGGAATGCATGGAGACCCTTATACAACTTCTGGGGGAGCAGATGCCTAATGACACTGCCATTTCTCCCCTACCCTACTGGCTCGCCCTAAAAGCAAGCTTCTGTGTTTATTAATTAATTAACTGAATTCTTGCCTTTAATGGCCTCAGGCTCCCTTGGTAGGCACTTCATCCTTGCCATCAGGTGTGTCTAGTAAATCTCTAACGTTCCTGTTCTTGGTGTTCGTTAGGAGGGCATAGTGGAATGCCTGGTCCCCTGGTGTCGGGGATTTCGTTTTTCCCACAAAGAATAGTTTTGTTTAGAGAGCCTAGGATTCCACTAAATCTCCCAAAGAGAAAGGCACTGAGGATATCGAGAGCCGTTAGGAATGAAAGGTAAAAAGGACAAGTGTGGTCTGTTGCCCTGGCCAGCAGGGCACAACAGGGGTCGAGCCCCCGGGAACCTGGAATGACGGGAAAAGAGGCCAGAGAAGGTGGACAGGAAGACAACATGGCTGATGGAGCTGCGTTTAATGAGAGTTTCCTACAGGCTTCAATAGGGGAAATGAGGTAGGGGGAGAGAGAGAGAGAGAGAGAGAGAGAGAGAGAGAGAGAGAGAGAGAGAGAGAGAGAGAGAGAGAGAGAGAGAGAGAGAGAGAGAGAGAGAGCGAGCGCACATCTTGTTTAGGATAATAGTTAAGACAGGGAACTAATTTAACTAAAACATAAAACACAGGGGTGGAATTTAGGAGGGGTGAGTAGATGCAGGTGGTAAGGCCGTCCTGACAGCCCACCAGGTGTGTTATCAGGGATTAGGTATAGAGAAGGGTTATTAGGAGACAGGGTAAGATTGCAGAGATGGGAGTGGGTTGAGGGAGTTTGGGAACTGGGGGCTATGCAGAGTCAGGAACACTGGTTTAGCATTTGTCAGGCTGAATACCTTGTGACATCCCGAGCTCAATAACCAGACAGTTGGATGCAAACTGCAAGAGGTTTATGGTTTACACAGGCATCTGCCTTAGCTAGCTGAGAGCCCCGGGCTTTAGGACAGTTTTCTTTTTATGTACATCATTTTGGCAAGCAAAGCAATAGGGATATTGTAAAAAGCGGAGCCACTGCAGGTGCAGATCTAGGCAAGCAATAGGAGTATTGTAAGAAGCGAGGGCATAACTCATCCTTCCTGGAGAAACCACAAGGTCAAGATTAAGCTTATCTTAACAGCCTGCCAGTGTCCTGCATCAGCACTCTGGACCAGATATTCTTTTTTTTTTTTTTTTTTTTTTTTTGGTTTTTTTCGAGACAGGGTCTCTGTGGCTTTGGAGACTATCCTGGAACTCACTTTGTAGACCAGGCTGGCCTCAAACTCACAGAGATCCGCCTGCCTCTGCCTCCCAAGTGCTGGGATTAAAGGCGTGCGCCACCAACACCCGGCCAGATGTTCTTTTTAATTCAACCTAGTTTCCTGTCTAGGGTAAAGGACCTTGGGGAATTTTCCACTAAGACAACCTTCTGAGTCTCAAAAAAAAGGGGGGGGTGTATTGAGGTTTTTCAATGCATCTTACCAAATGTTTTGGCATCCACCAAGTTTTGTTCTTTTCCTGTAAGAAAACACAAACATTCCCTCCACCCCAAATTGGGTCTTTCCCACTGTCTAGTGTATGGATATTTTCATCTGACCTGAGCAAAAGTCATTTGAGTTCCATCATGCCAGAATCTGTCTGCAGTAGACTGTTCACTGGCATCCACATTTAAAAATTTTAAAATGAAGAGTGTATGATTTAATGCATCATGTGGAGACAAAGGTGATTTTATAGCCATTTTTGCAGGCAACATGTGACTAAGGTTCATTGTGGAGTATGTCTGAATACTACTCCCATGCCTGCGGAGCCGGTGGCTAAGGCCCCCCGATACTTCAAGTCCCACTAACAGGGGGATGAATTAGATGGCTCTCTTATGTCTAGGAATAAGACAGTCTATGCTAGGTATTGGAATGGGCTCACTTCCTGGAATAAACTACATCTGGGAAAAGGGTGACTAACACACATAACCCTGTCCAGTTTGTAGACAACATGGAATAAGCCATTCCATTTCCACATGTAAAAACTTGTCAGGGCCAAGGACAAAGAACTGCAAATACATTACTAGAGCAGGAAGTGAATGATGCTTGTCCTACACCTATATCAAAGCTATTATTTTTTAAATGTTTATAAAGGCATAGGGAATGATTAAGTCCTGTGTGTTGTATCTTAAAATGAATGTTAAGGGAGCAATTATCACCCAGTGGGGGACCATCAAAGGGTACAGAGGAATTTTGCAACGCCTACCCACTAGAGGTCAAGAGGTTCCCAAGGCCAAACACAACCAGCAATCCCTTGGCAGATGGGGATTAGTGACATTACTATTACTCCCCTTTTTAGTTTTTAGAAGTTGCATTTTTTAAGGAGTTATAAGCATGCTCTACAATTCCTTAAGGATTGTAAGGAATACCTGATGTGATAAATTTTCTATTGAGTACAAAATAGCTGAATGCCTTATTAGAATATCCATACCTATTATCTGTTCTTTATCACTTTTGGCACTCCCATGTGAGCAAAACATTTTAAACAGTGATTTATCACATGCTTGGTGACATTTTCAGTTTGTGTGGTGGCCATCTAAAAACCTGAATATCTATCAACTGCCATACATACATATTCTAACTTGTCAAATTCTGTAACATGAGTAACATCCATTAGCCATAAATGAATAGGAAGTAGGCCTCTAGGGTTTACTCTTAAATTAGTTATAAATAAATATTGTGGGCACACTTCGTTGTTTGACCATTTTGACAAGCAGTCTCTCTAGTTAAACCAAATTTCTTTCCTAGACTTCTGTTATTTTGATGATGAAAATTATGAGACTGCAGAACTCTCTCTACCAGAGACAAAGAGACCAATTTTGTTAATCTATCTGTTGACTCGTTTTCTCTAGCCAATGGGCTGGGAAGGTTTGAATGAGCTCTTATGTTACCCACAAACAATGGCAATTGCATTTTGAATTTGCTCAAATAATATTGTTAGTTCCAATGCACTGAACTGTCTTTATTATTTGAAGAGTTTTAAAAACATAATGACTGTCAGTACACAATTAAATGAATCATTTTAAAAAGTTGAAAAACCATTGTAATACCTCATAACTCAACTATCTGAGCTGAAGCCAGAGTTGATTGATCCACATATTTCTTTTTTTTTTTTTTTTTTTGGTTTTATGAGACAGGGTTTCTCTGATCCACATATTTCTTACCATCTATTCCATAAGCTACTCTTCCATTAGAATAGCCCTTAGTAAAAACCATCATGACATTTTTTACCGGACTATTTTTTACTATTTTGGAGAATATAAAAGGATGTATTAGCTCAAACTGTAACAACCTATGAGCTATAAACTGATTATCAATTCTCCCTGAAAACTGAGCAAAAGCAATTTCCCATGAACCACTGTTTTGAAACGACCAATCAACTTGATGTTTCAAATAAGGAACATGTATCATACTTGGTTTTCATGAATGTCCTTTAAAAAAGGGGCATAACCATTGAATATCTCCCAACAACTTCTGAAAAATCACTCAAAGATTATAAACTATCTTTTTTAATTCTCTAAATTGAGGTTTAATTTTTATTAGAATATAACATATGTCCCAAATAACTTTTGAAAATTAAAGTTTGTAAGTAGTCTTTTCCAATCTAACTTGTAAAGCTCTCACTAGCTGACATGGTCCAATTTGCATCTACACTGACACCTTTGTGGGTAGGGCCTAACCAATCTGGAGTTCCCTGAGTCTTCTTCTCAAAAACCTTTTCCAAATCATGTATTAACATCTATTCTCTAGATTTCTTTTGCTAACCATAAAAATTTAGAAGGCTCTCTGTATCCTCTCTGATCCTCTCTGCTAAACTCTATAGACTCATCTATACAGATTTCCTTTGCCCTTAGGTCAATGCATTAGGCTTTTGCTATGTTTCCATCAACTGGTTCTGAGGGCTCAATTTGCTTATCTTTCCTGTTAAGAGACTGACTGACTGACACCAGGCATTGGTGGCGCACGCCTTTAATCCCAGCACTTGGGAGGCAGAGGCAGGTGGATCTCTGTGAGTTCGAGGCCAGTCTGGTCTACAGAGTGAGTTCCAGGACAGCCTCCAAAACAGTACATAGAAACCCTGTCTCGAAAAACCAAATAAAAAAAAAAAAGGCTGGAAAAAAAAAAGAGACTGACTGACTGGCTGGATGCTCCCTTTGGCTTTTTAATGATATCCAATGTGATTTAAGTATCCTTTTAATCATATCCAAGGCAATTTGAGCAGTTGCTTTTGTCAACATTCACACATGCACAATCACATTTCATACATGCCGGTATGGCCATACCATACACACATAACAAGTACATGTCTCTCATCTCTCCTTTTGCCTCTGTGAAACTTTTTAAATTGAAGTCTCTTGTAGCTACAGCCAGTCCTTGAATTATGAGTATCCAAAATCTGAACAGATCCTAATTTATCCATGTTGTCTTTCTTTCTCTATAAGGTCTTAAAACAGTTTCTGACTGGCTGTATTAATAGCATCTTCTATAAGTTTGTCTGGGCGTCAGCCATGGCCGAGGCTCTCAAGGCTGCGAGCATCCTAGGCTTTGGCCTTGGCCTTCCTTGCCTTCGTCCTTTGGGCCTGGCGTGCTGCATTAGTGTTCTCATAAGCTAGTTGTCTCAGTCAAAAGTTTAACACCTGTATCTCTCCTTATTTTGGATGATGCCTGTGTTAGCCTAGAGACAAAATTCTGAAATAACTCCTCAGGTCCTTGCCTGTTCTTTCTAAAGCCTGTGTCCTGGCAGCTGGAAGCTTGTTCCAAGTTCTCTTGGCAACTGTGCCAATCTGTGTACACATTGCTATCTCAAAACTTAACTGTTGATCTATATCTTTGTATTATTCTTCCTCAGTGAGCACCTCATAAGGAACAGGAAGGTTGTGGGATCTATTTTTTTTTTCAGCTATGTTTTGACACAGGTATGTTTTGACACTTCTCTGTAAATTCTGCTTTCCACCACAAATTAGTTCCCTTTTGTTAGGCAGGCCTTGACTCTCAGCTTCCAATCTCCTGGGGGTAAGGTTTCTATAGCAATGTTTTTTATTAGCATCTGGACAAAACTGCTGTTGGTCTATACTGAATATGAGCCATCTTTAGCCCCTTGAGCTGTTTAAATGGTATCACCGTACACACGCTGCCTGTGATTCCCTGATCCCTATGCTCTGTCATAGGAAATGTCTGAAATGCCTGTACATCTTTTTGTTGTTGTTGTTGTTTGCTGCTTCTAGAACACTAACCTGGACTGGAGACATCTGACCTCCTGCCGGCCATGACTTGAGAGGCACTTGCATACTAGGCTGATCTATGCTTGCTGCTGCCTTAGACAGAGGAACATTTCTCTGATCTGAGGAAACTTGAGAAGTGCTTATCTCCTGTGAGAGCGATTCCACTAAAGCTTTCAAGCCTCTTAGTCTCTGCTGAATTTTACCACTAGGTTTCTGCCTCTCTGTATTTCTAGTTAAAAATGAGGGACGTGAAGACTCTCCGTCCTGATACTCAATAGCTCTCTCTTTATACTCACGCCAATCTCTCTGCCCTGTATGTTCTTTCTCATCTGGCTGCTCCTAGTAGGTGTGGAGGTCTCTGCCAACCGCTTCAGGAGCAGATGTTTTATGCTGTCCTTCTTGTATGTGTGGTCACATCTTCGCTTCCCCAAGCCCTGGCACAGCTCTGATACAGCTGTGGTGGTGGCTTCTGTGAGAGGGAAGGATCCTTTTAAAACCTTTAAACTTTAAAATTTTATGTACTTAGCTTGGCTTTATTTCAGCTCTCCTGGCTATCAGAATACACACAAGTAAACATATGATCATCTGACCAATAGTTTTCTGTCTCCTAGCTCTAATGATATATTTTAAGATCCTTGATTTTAACCCTTACTTCTCGTGTCTTGAGAGACTTCTGGAGTCCCTTAATGAACAAATCTTGCTTACTGAATTCTTGTCCCATGACGTAAGCTTACCTTGAGCCTCTGCGTTACTCCTCCAGATCCGTGGCAGTCACTGCGGGTTCTTCTCACAGCCGTGTGGAGCCGTGGCGACCTCTCTGCGGGTCTGTCTCACTGCCAATGGGACCGTGGCAACCTCTTTGCAAGTCTGTCTCACGGTCGTGTGGAGCTGTGGCAACTCTGTGAGCCTATGCTTTCAGGCAAGGTGGCTCAGTGAACGTGGGCAGGCCTGCCCCCCTGGGTGCAGCAGCGTTCCCAGGGTCCTTAGGGTTTTCGAGCTGGATCACTGGGTGCCAATCTGCCCTGACCAGCAGGGCACAACGGGGCGTTTGAGCCCATGGGAACCTGGAATGATGGGACAAGAGACAAGAGAAGGTGGACAGGAAGACAGCAGTCTGTCTGCCATGTTGAAATGTAAGAACTTTGTCAAATGGCGATGGTCACCCAGTGGAGGTCCACGCCACATCCCTTCTCTTGACTCTCATGACCTCTTTCACTGTAAATACTCAATAATGTAAACAAGTGAAGAGATGGATGGATGAATAAATACATGAAAATTTCCAAAACAAAAACAAAAACAAATGACCCATGTTTACTTAAAGCCAGAATGTTTGTGAACTTGAGTTTTGCTGTGGTAACATTCTTCTCTCAACCCAAAGTCTAGATAGTTCAACTCATAAAATCACCTTACAATTTCATATGCAGAGGGCTGGAAAAATAACTCAGTGGTTAGAAGTGCCTGCTGCTCTTCTAGAGGACCCCAATTTGGTTCCTGCACCAACACCAGAGACTTGGTATTTGTCTGTAATCCTAGTACCAGGATATCTGAGACCCTTTTCCGGCCTCCTCAGCCCCGCACACATGTGGCATATACTCACACAAAAACACAGAGATGTACATAAATCTTTAGTATTTTCATTTGCAATAAGAGATTCTTTAAGATAGGAAAAATAAGTCATACTTTAACTTAATTTTTAAACTGTGGTTAAGTTTTTAGCATTGCTTAATCTTTAAGTTTATGTACACACGTGTGTATGTGTGCACATTTGTGTGTGTGTGGGGGGGTGTATGTGGTGTGTGGAGGTCAGAGGACAACCCTCAGGAGTTAATTCTCTTCTTCCACTGTGGTATCTGGGGGCCATGCTCAGTTCATGAGACTTGGAGGGCAAGAACTTTAAGCCAATGAGCCATCCCACTGACCCTTTGTTTAATTTTCAAACTGTGCTGCAAATTCTGCCCTTAGAGGAGAACATCTTTGAAAGCTACGGGAGCACATAATGATGTTTATAAGGATGCTGTAGTGATTTCAAAGAAAATGACCCCCAAAGGAAGTGACACTATTAGGAAGAGTGGCCATGTTGGAATAGGTATGGCCTTGATGGAGGAAGAGGGTCACTGTGGAGGTGGGCTTTGAGGTCTCTCTTGCTCAAGTTCCCCTTAGTGTAACACTCAGACCACTTCCTGTTGCCTGCAAGATGTAGGACTCTCAGCTACAGCACCATGTCTGCCCACAGTCTACCATATCTCACCGTGATGACAATGGACTAAACCTCTGAACTGTAGGCAAGGCACCCCAATTAAATGTTCTCCTTTATGAGAGTTGTCATGGTCATGGTGTCTCTTCCCAACAATAGAAACCCTAAGACAGACACTTACAAGCAACTCTGTCACAAAAGGCCACACTTATGGTATCTTATTCTCGTCCTGTGTGACTCTATCAAAATACTTCACAAACTCATTAGTTTTGCTTTTTACCGACTATCTTTGTTACGGTTTCTATTGCAGTAAAGAGATACCATGACCACAGCAACTCTTGTAAAGGAAAACATTTAATTGCACTAGCTTACAGTTCAAAGGTTCAGCCTATTATCGTCATGCTGAGACATGGTAGGTGCAGGCAGACATGTGCTAGCTACATGTTGATCAGAAGGCAACAGGAAATGAACTGCCTCACTGGGCATGGCTTGAGCATATATGAACCCTCAAAGCCTGTTGCCATGGTGGCACACTTCCTCCAACAAGACCACACCTACTCCCACAAAGCCACACCTCCTAATAGTGCCACTCCCTTTGGGGGCCTTTTTTTTTTCCAAACCACCCCACTGGCTCATCCTGAAATTCCTTTCTGCAGGTGTGAAGGTTCTGACTTAACTTTAGTGTAGGCCCCTAAGGGGAAAAGGATCTCCTCAGGTTGCACATCCCTGCAGTGTCTTCCTGCCATGGAACAAACTGAGTCTCAACACTGCAGCTTAGAAAGGCTTATGGTTTTGACAACCCTTATGGGTGGGATGCTAGTAGGTCTGAAAAATGGGTGTTGTTACAAAGAAGGGAAACTGGAGAGCCTGAGCTGAAGCAGTAAAGGTTTCAGTGTGGCCCCAGCAGCCAGGGCTCAGAGCTACCTGGCAGAGAACATGGGAAGATGCAGAGTCCTGAATTCTGACTCCAAGCCACCTGCGGATAGGATGTCACTGTCACGGCCATGTTGCCCTTAGACCACTGTTGAGACTCGGTCCTTCAGAGGATGACCCCAAAATGAAAGCAACAGGAAGCTGCGTGGGGTTTTTTAAATTACATTTTCATTTGCTTATTTTGTGTGTGTATATAATACGCTGCATGCACGCATGCTGCAGTCTGTGCATGGCGATCAGAGGACAATTTGCAGGAGTTGCTTGTCTCCTTCCATCACGTGTGTTGTTATTTTGCTTAAGATTAGAAATTAGAAAAAAGGAAAAAGAAACTGTTGCGGAAGATAGGAATCAGGGATGGGAACCAGGGACGGGAACCGGCGTGATACAGCATGAGCCATGGAGAGTGTATTAATCAGTTTATTATGGAGAGACTGAAAGGGGGAAGACAGACATGAGAGAGTAAGGTAAGGGAGCAGAGAAGAGGAGAGCGGGTAAGTGGGCAGGGGTCTGTCCTTTAAAGGGGTCCTTTGCACCTGTGTGTGTAGACTGGTTCTCATGGAACTCTGGGCTGGCCAGAGAACTGCCTGAGTGAATCCTGCCAGGTACCCGACAGGCCAGCATAATGTCTGAACCTTCCAATGTGGGTCCCAGGGATTGAACTCATATCATCAGACTTGATAGCAGATTTTACTAGGTGATCTATATCACTGGCCCAAGAAAAATGTTTTGAGCCGCACTCCCACCCTCTCAGCCCCAAATAGTCTGTCTTGTTTCCATTCTGCTGTAATATAATGTCAACATCATCTCTCTCATTCTCACGATAAGAAAAAGTGTTGCGAAAACTGGAAACTGACAATGCTTAGAACCATCAGAGATGAGGTCACAGGACAAAGTCCCCCATCAAAGTCTACAGAGGACGTGAGTGCAGCTTGCTGGGAGCAGAAGCTTTGGGGATAAAGCCCGTGGAAGCCCTCTGAATGCAGAGGGCTCTCAGCTGGTGGAAATCCCCATAGAATCATCCAGAAGTCCTACTAGGTTCCCAAGAGGAAAAGCTCAGGAAAAGCCCTTCCTGGTTAGGGCAGGAGAGAGTGAAACAACTTTAAGGCAAACCAGAGAGCTCTAGTCTTAACAACAAGGGCCTCTCACATCAGTGGGTAGCCCTTAACTGGGCTCAATGGGTTATTTACAAGGAGAGAAAGAAGTTGGGGCGGGGCTTGTTAGCGGGGTTGGGGGAGGGGTGGAGAGGGTCCCATTTCATTGTATGAAATTCTCAGAGAATACAGTTAACCCAAAAATAAAAAGGTAACTTATTTGGCAGAGCCTCACCTGGCCTTGAGCTGACAAGCAGACAGTTCCAACTTCTTTAACTGCCTGTCTCACAGAAGAGGAGAAGGGGGCGGGGCGGGGCGGGGCTGGGCGGGGCAGAGCTAACGCAGGGTCTGAAGAGATGTTTCAGTGAGACAGCATCCAAGTGGCTCACAGCCGTCTGTAGCTCCAGTTGCTGAGAACCTGAGGCACTCCTCAAACCCCGTGGGCTCATGGCGTGTTAAATCTTGGATGTGTGTGATGAGCAAGAACTCACTGGAGCACATGAAAAAAAAAAGTAAATGATTCTTTTTTAAAATAAAGGCTGTTCCAAAAGTCACCACTTAAAATTTATTTGAAATATAATATGTGTAGGACTCTAGAACTGTTGCCTCCCACAACATCCTACGTCTAATGAACTACGCTCCATAATAACAGAGGCCAGTGGTAGAGAGATCCTGGGAAAAGCGGGTTCTTGTAAGAAAGCATCGTTAGGGAAACCTAAAGATGATTGAAATGACAGCAAGAATGTGGGAGGGGACGGAGGGCGCTGACACCTAGAACAGCAGCAACACCCAGACCCTCACCAGAGCAGTAGAAAGCCCCCACCACACATCCTCTGTCCAGTCCTTTATACCCCTTTTGTCCTGATCAGCTCTCAACAACTACAAACATTTGCAAGACAGGCTTGTATAAGACAAGCAAAGGACCACAGTCTGCAGAGGCAAAACAAGCCCCAGAAACAGGCTCCGGGTGACAGAGGTTTTGAAGTTACCAAGCCAGAAATGTTAAATAATTGAAACACGGATGCTCTGATTCCAGTAAAGGGCTCTAACGGGAAAGGCAGGCAACAAGCAAGAGCGTCTGAGCAGTGTGAGTGGACGGAATCCCGGAGGAGGCGTTGGAGGGTTGACGAGACAGAGCAGCGGCTAAGGGTGCCTACTGCCTAAACTAAAGAAGCCTCGCAAGCGTGAGAGTGGGGTGATGAAATATTTGTTGTTTAAAGCAACTATAATTTTTTAAACTGTATTATTTAAAAAGTAAAATGTCTGCATCTAATGAAATTATCCTGCAAGAATAAACGAAATAAATAGACATTGCCAGGACAAATAAGGGCAAGGCATTTGTCGATTATGGAATAAAGTAGTTCTTCTGGTGGTGCACGCCTTTAATCCCAGCACTCGGGAGGCAGAGGCAGGCGGATCTCTGTGAGTTCGAGGCCATCCTGGTCTACAAAGCCAGTTGCAGGAGAGCCTCCAAAACAATACAGAGAAGCCCTGTCTCGAAAAACCAAAAAAAAAAAAAAAAAAAACCCAAAAACTTTAAAAATTGCTGGCTGGTAGCTGTGGTGCACGCCTTTAATCCCAGCTCTCAGGAGGTAGAGGCAGGTGGATCTCTGTGAGTTCAAAGTCAACCCACTCTATAGAGAAGCCCTGTTGGAGGGAAGGAAGGGAGGGAGGGAGGGAGGGAGGAAGGAAGGAAGGAAGGAAGGAAGGAAGGAAGGAAGGAAGGAAGGAAGGAAGGAAGGGAAAAAAGAAAAAAACAAGTAAAGAATAGTTCAGGATAAGAAAAAAAATATCCAAATTTTAAAAAAAGGAAAGAAAAAGAAAATTTGTCCAACACACAAAAAGGACATTACCTAATGATGAAAGGGTTAATTCTACAAGATTTAACATGCCATGTTGTGCTGAGTTTCAAAACACACAGAACTGCCAAGAGATGTAGCTTAGCTCACTGTAAGTGGATACCGAGCTTCCCTGTTCCGTAACACACAAATTCGGCTGACAGAAAGCAGCAAGAGTACCGTAGAACTGAACACCGTCGGCCAACAGGATGTAACTGACACAGACGACTTCATCTGAGAACACACATTTTCTCAGGTTCACACAGACTATTTATAAGTACAGACAACTTCTGGGCCCTAGAACATGCTCCCACACACTCCAACAGTGGGGTGACACAGAATACACTCTCAGAGCACGCGCAATTAAACTAGAAACCGGTAATGGGAAATAGCTAAAGAGGTCTCACAATGTTGGGGTGCTAACTGGTGCAGTTCAGGGTAGGAAGTCGGTCACAGGTGATGTTGCTAGAGAAATGTTCGAGCATTCGGAACAAACAAAAGTAGAAAAAGCACTTGGGGCTCTAGAGAGCCTCCCCATCCCACAAAGCTGGGCACTGCCTCTCCCCTGCCCTGGACAGAAGAAAGGAAATGTAGTCTTTAGAGCTATTGTTTTGAACTTTGCACTAGGGAACAGCAAGTGGAGATGACAGCAATATCTGCTTGAGGGGAAATAAGTAATATTCCACATATTATCCAACTGGCACGACTTCCCAGCTTCCTCTCTCTGCCTTACAAAGAAACACAGTATCCAAGAAATATGTCCTAGAGGCAGGAGAATGGCCAGATGGGTGCTCCTATCTTGATCCACAGAACCTGTGAATGTGTTGTTATATGACGTGGTAAGAGAAAATTAGTGTAATAAATAACCTCTGCATTACCTGGGTGAGTTCAGTGTAATCACACTGGTCCAAAGTCATATTGACGATGAGAGAAGAAAGTCTCCACTGAGCGTCACTGGCCTCAAAGACAGAAGAGGGTCACAGCTAAGGAACTGGATAGGAAGGGTCCCCCAAAGACTCCAGTACTGAATGCCTGGTCCCAGTTGGTAGGATTGGATCATGAGGGCTCTGAACTAATCAGCTGAATTTTTAATCTGGTGGCATCATCGGGATGCGTGGCATTCAGAGACTGGGCATGCGTGGAGGTAGTACTTTAGCAGATGTATGCCTTTGAAGCCAATATCTCCTTTAGTTTCCTCATAATGATACCAGGGAAATGTGGGTCCCTTCTTGGGGTTCATGGTCTCATTAATAAGATGATTTAAAGTAGAATCAGAGGGAAACTTGAGGATAACTTTAATCAGAGTTTAAAAGAAAAATCCCAGGGCAGACAAGCTATAAATCATAACGGCTTCCTGGAGGACGATAATGGAGGAGAGATGGGAGAGCCCCCTCTGTTTGAGATACCAGCATGGAGGCCTTCAGCGTGGCATCAGAAAGCCCTGTGGTGGGGAAGAAAGATTTAGAAAACAAGAAATGATGCCCAACATATCAGAGAATTGTGAAAGACTCCCTACCCAGGGCCCCCTAGGAAAAGAAAAACAAGGCCAAGCCGTTGCCTAATGGAAAAACCCAGACCAGGTGCCTCGCCCAGCTGGCACCTCATACAGGATGCCAAACAGGATGTCTGTGGTCACCAGAGCAGTCATGGGACCCGGATAATTGCTGAAGCGTGCCGGGGTCTTTCATGTGGTAATACCAGGAAACCTAGTCCTTGGCAACTACCCCTACCCCCAAGATGACCTTAGCCAGTGCTTAAGTAGCCAATGAAATGCCTGTTGCTATGCTGATACTTATGGACCATTAAAACTCTATAACTATTATGCTCCCTGCAAGCCCGGTATGCTCTGCACCCGTGTTGCAGTAGCATCCGCAGGCGCCTGTGTACTCAATAAATCACCTCTTGCTTTTGCATCCAGTGGTCTGGCCCTGTCCTTGGGCAGAGGGTTCGGTTCAGTGCCTGGCGCTTCAGTGCCAGGGTCTTTCATTTTCATTTATGTTCTTGCCCGCATCTGAAAGGAGACAGAAAAAAGAAGAAGGTGGCTTGTAGGGATTGTACTAGAAGTCAAACTTCTGAGAAAGAAAAGCACAGAGTGTCAATAAAGAACAATTATTCTGCCCGTCTCTTAAGCATGGCTTACGGTGTGCTTGCCTACCTTCCTGGGGGTGGACCTTGGCCAGGTGACGAATCAGTCCAAGCGGAATGTCAGGTCTCCGTCCAGTTCAGAGATTCTAATCTTTTTGACCAAAGGAGTTTTCCCTTAACAGGACTTTATTGCTGCTAACCCTGCCAGGAGGGGAATGGTCTCTTTTATCGCGTTTCCCTGTTGCCATGGTATTCTGCATCACTGCAGTCCAGAGACAATGGATCCAGCCAACTGTGGACTGAACCCTCTGATATTGCAAATCTTTGCACTTTCATTTAAAAAAATAATGATAAAAGATCAACTAATGCATAGAGCAAGACTGTGGAAAAATCGAGAAGCAGATTTTCCTCCTCAGTTTGGGAAAGGAAGGCACTCCCAGTAACACCACTTTGGTCCACGCTGTGTCTAACCACTGACTTCTGAGACAGAAGAAACAAACAAATAAACAAGAATAGTAACAACAAAAAACAGATTCCTGATTTTTTTTCAGCAATACATGAATGGTCATCTGTGATAGTAGTGACACAAAATGACTAGAGTGCCCTTCCCTGACAGTGTTGGCTTCTTCTCAGTCAGCACAGACCACTCCAGAAGGAAACATGCAGAAATTGAAAGTCTGACAGTCTTAGTTAGGGTTTTATTGCTGTGAATAGATGCCATAACCAAGGCAATTCTTAAAAAAGAAAACATTCAATTGGTGCTGGCTTACAAGTCAGGGGTTTAGTCCATTCTCCCCATGGTGGGAAGCATGGTGTCACACAGGTAGACATGGTGCTGGAGAAGGAGCCGAGAGTTCTACATCTAGATCTGTAGGAAGAGAGAGCGAGCCACTGGGCCTGGCTGGAGCATCTGAAATCTCAATGCCCACCCCCAGTGACACACTTCCTCCAATAAGGCCACACCTCCAATAACGCCACTCCCTCTGAGTCTGCTGGCGGCCATTTTCATTCAGACCATCACACTGACTCTCCTAGAAAAGCACTTAAGGACTCATGTGCTCATCTTAGACAATGAAATCCCACCTTCAAAAGCCACATTTACCCACACAGTACCTAAGTCCACAATACAAACGAGTAGCTAATGACCGTTAGATACTTGGAAATGCTTCAAATGTGGAAGAGATCCCAACAGACAGAGCAAACCTGGAGAGAAACAGGGAGTAGAAGAGACAAATCTATTTGACAATATATATGCTATTTTCAAAGAGATATGGGGAGATACCACATCTATGAAGTGAGACACTGAATTAACAGGAAGGGTCAGATTGTCAACATACATAAAACTCAGAGACCTTAAATATTATCAAAAGCCATGTTTTATTAATCAGTCAAAAGATCTAGGTGATCTTGACATGGAGAACAGGACAGTCTGACACGGCTACCCTAAGGATCGTTGGGTTCTTGCCATTTTAGAACATCCTTCCTGGGACTCAAGAACTGTCTCATCATTGGAGAGCATTCAATTCCCAACACTCACAT